TAGTTAAATTTTGCTTGTGAATTAAAGGGCAAAGGAGTATGTGACTAAAGAAACTACACAGACATGAACATGGTTTGTGATGGCTGGTTTCGTGTCTGTTCTCCAAGACAAAATGCCAGGCCACTTTCTACTCGCTGTCCGTAGCTGTTCTGTCAGTGTGACACACTAGTAGGATACATTTTACATACACAGCCTGAAGTCCCTGAAATTACCTTGTCACAAACATCCACTTGAAACATCTACCAAGTGTCTATGCTGCCAGATAACCAACCTGGGTTAGGCAACCAGAATGGCACCCTGGCACACCAGAGAAACAACATCCAGTGAACAACCAGAAACATTTGTACATTTTTCCAGGTCATAAAGGCTTAACTCTTAATGGGGCTTTGAATCAAGTTGTTTCTGAGCATCACAGGCAGCAGGTATTGACAGAAAGGCAAGATGAATATTCTGCTTGCATTTCAATAAGGAAATCTTTCCAAATTGCAGAATAAACAAGAAAAAAACTCTATGCAAAAGCACCAAGGAGAAGAAAAGGATGTTAATGAGCACAATTTCTTCTTAACAAAAAGAAGATTTCATAGTGTTTCATTTCATTTATGGCATCAAACCTGTGTCAGGTTTGGATGCATTCCACCATCTTTGAACACTATTTTAGCATCCTGTGATATTCCCCTATCTGTGAGAGTAGGGATTCTGTTGGTGGGGATGATAAATCTGGATGGAATAAGACATGGACTTGCCAGAGGAGGACTTGGAAGATGAGGAGGAGGGAGGAATAAAAGGAATTTAGTTTTTAAAAATTATTTTAGGGCCCCCACTGTTAAAATCTGGGGTTTGTCCCCCATTGCTTCTGAGCACACATTATCACACTGCCAAAGAAGCATCTTTCCATCAGAAATTAAGCCAAAGTGATTCCATTGGCAATTGTCTGCCCAGTTCACAAGCAAGTGTTTTCCTGGTGTCTTTCAAGCCTTATAAAATTTAGTCATCTCACTTTTAGTTTTGCATGATATTTGTAATGCTTTTTTGAATTCTTCTGGTCAGTCTTTCAGTTTATCCAGATATCATGAAATAAACCAAACGATGTTAAGGTCTGATTCCTGCTAAAGTGACAGGCTTGCTTTAGCTTGCTTCATTACTTTGGAGTGCAAGGTGAGTAAAGACAGGAACATTGGTCAGCTTTATTTACCTCATAACTGAGTCCATGCTGGTAGGACAGGAACTGAGCTCATGGGTGCCCTTCCAAGTTCTGCTGAGGAATTGCGTGACCTATGTAACAGATTTGGTTGCGTAAGAAGTCAGTGGCAGAAATAAGAAATCAACTGTGTTTCTCAGTTTAGGGCATGTAACTATACCATTCCTGTAACTCTGGATATGAATTTCTCTTCACAAATGATGCAAACATTTACCTTTTCTCACTTCCACCATAATGCCTTATTTCTGTTAGCAATTATAGATCAAGGCAAGACTATTTTAATATCCATTTCTATATATCTCTAAATAAATTAAAGGTGTAACCCCTTGCTTGGCTCTTGCTATATCTTTTTTCTTATGAGAACATATTTTGATCCAAAACAAGTTTCATACCTTCAAAGTAGCTGGAAAAAAAAAATTTCAATATAATATTAGGGTTATATCAGAAAGATATCTAGGGGAAGTTAGGGTAACTACAGCCAAAGAGATCCAGCTGTCTTAATCCCTATAAATCTCTGCTAGAGAAAGTGGACAGGAAGCATGTAAAATATCAAAATTGCATATGTCTCATGTTTAATGTTTCCACAGAAGTCTAACCAAGCTTGAAAGTTAATGTTTAATTCAAAGAATAGGAAATACCAAGGAATCATTTACAAGGCCACAGGTCACCAGGGGGATACAGTAGTCTGAATTTGTAAATCACAAGCAAGCAATGTTAAAGGAATCCTTAGTGGTTTTTATCTCATTTCCAAGAGTCTCTACATCTGTTACATATTTTTTTAAATGCTGGTGGTGATCAAAACAATGTACAGAGGAACATACGTAACCATGGGGACTAATAAGAGAATTTCTGTGGTCGTGGTTGACAAGATCCCAGAACTGAAACTCACAGGCAAAAGTTTTAAATGTCATGGTAGGCATTACATCACCTAATTCTATTCTGCGTTTAAAGTTAAATTAAAAGTACTCCAAAGTCATTGCCTGCCTGAACATTCATCATACAGAAGTCAGCATGGCCATCAGGCTACTCCCTGAAAGAGGAGATGAATCAATCAGCATTCAGAATTCCTTTTTCAAAGCCATCAGTCACCACACTGCACTTCCAGAAAGTTTCAGGATGAGGTTCAGGAAACCACTTAGGTAGATATGTAAAGTCCACTGCCAAAAGCTGAGGGTTGACAGAGCTCTCAGATAGCAGGAAAGGGCAAGACTTTGAAGGCTGAGTCCACATAGGTCGTTTAAAACTCCATGGTGAAATAATGCAATAGGGAAGGTGGACAGTGGAGGATAGCTGTGAAGGGAAATATCTGAAGGTGATAAAAAAATGTTAAAATGCACCTGAATTGAAGGCATGTAGAGAGGCTGCAAATGAGAACCTTTCCCTAAGCTGTAGTCATTTTTACTATTGATGCTTTTTGTGAGTCATGCAAATGTCTTTTTCCCCCAGGCACTAAACTGAGAATGACACCTCAGGAGGATGTCTCTGAGATTTAATTAGTTGTCATTTACCAACAATCCTGAGTAAAGACCATATTACTTTATCAGGTGTACTTCTGTAACACAAATAAAAAAACCAACTGTTAGGAAATTTAATTATTTGTTATCTAATGTAGAGTATGCAAACATCATTTAGTATCTTGGAAAGTGACTGGGGAATGGGAGACCCTCATTTTGATTTTGAGGGAATATACGGAAAGCATGTGCAGTGTGTGAGCTGTGAGAAGCTCTCTCCATTATTTTACTGGCTTCTAGGAAAATCAAAGGTTTGTACTCCAAATTACAAGCTTTAGAAGGGCTGGGTGGGGGGAGGGTGGAAATCCCTTTTCAATAAGTGTTGAAGCACTTGTGGTTCAAAACAGAAGTTTGCAAGTCCTAGAGCACCAGTTTTAATTTTATTATGGTCAAAATCTGAATGTAACTCTAAAACATCTGAGTTTTCAATAGCTTAAAGTAGTTTCCAAAAAGCTCTGAAAGCTAATTACTCACCACCAATATCAATCAGATTTCTTGTGTAAATAGTTATCTAGGCACAAGCAATGAAAAAGAAAATCTACCCTTTTACTCTCACATTCGCCAAGTTTACATGAATGGACCCTACTCCCTATAAACTCTCCTCCATGTGTTTTCTATAGGATTTCTTTATCCACACTGTGTCTTAGCAGGAATTTACACACTCAGCAATGGGCAGTTTCGTTGAGTTGCTTGTGCTGGTTAGTTGTCCCAGTCCCTGCTGGGGGGTTTTTACGCTCAGCATGGGCAGAAGAGGAAGAAGAGGGGCTGCCCAAGAACCCTGGTCCCATGGATCAAAGACAGCAGACGTGGCAGGCATCCTGAGACCATCTCCACTTTCTGCCAAAGGCTTGCTCACAGCCTGTAAACTGGAACTTAATTTTTGGCTTGACAGGGCTCCCCTACTGAGACTTCAAAGGCTTGCAAATGCTGCTAGTATCTCATATGAAAACAAAGCAACTAGAGCTTGGCGAGGGGTGTGGAGGAGATTTATCAGGTGTCTGTCATGGCAAGGAACACCGTCAACAACCCATACAGCCAAATACTGTCCTACTTATTTTTTATAGATGAAAATTCAAACTGTGCTTCTGAAATGACATCCTCAGCTGTTTCTATCTCTTGGCTTCTAAAGTGACATTCCACAGAGTTTAAGCATGGCAAAGCAGCATGGGCCATTTGCTTGGAGAGCTATCATGTCCTGAGAACAAAAGATAAAAGAGATAAATAGCCGAGTACAATATTGTACCTCAACAACCTAAAAGACAATCTCAACCCTGAATGGAAGAATGGAGAGCTTTTATTTCTTGGTTTTTTAAAGAACAAAGCTTAGCGATTTCCTTTAAAAGCTATTCAACAAGCTCCCCTAAATCCTATTACAATTTAATGTGAAATGCATGTTTCCATAAGAACAACAGTGGCAGCATTCATCCTTTGTAGTCTGTCCTTTGTTGTTTTTACTATCTATTCTTGTAGATTTTTCCACTCTAGTGTACCAAACACAAAACAAGAACTGATAAAATTTCAGTCAGAGCATTTATTTTTTAAGTTGATGCATTTATTTTTTAAGTTGATGCTGGAAATTCAGTTTCTTCCTGCTTGTTGCCTGAATAATGCCAAATTAAATTATCATTCAAGGAATTTATAAGGTAAAGAAACTGCTTGAATATTGTCCTAACATTCCTTGCATGCGGATTCTGTATCCAGCTACAGATATTTGTCTACACCTAACAGTAAAGAAGGATATACTCTCTGCATGAATGTATATACACAGGCTTCTCACTGTTGCTGAGATCTAAACGTACTGCAATGTATTCAGCCTGCGTATCTTAAATCAGTTCAACATCAGATCAGCACTGCACCATTTTTTTAGAACCTATGCATGTAGCTCTCCATATAGTATTTTTTTAAGATGTGACCAGGTTGGTGGGTAAGACATTTTATCTGATGTACACTGTTTAACTGAATTTGCATTCAGCAAACTGCAAGGCATATGAATTCCTAAAAAGATGTTTATTTAGAAAACCTTAGGCAAATGGAGACTAGGTAGAGCAAGATGCGACATGCTTTTATTAATGTCTTGCCTGTGGGAAAAGGTGACTTTGATTGTTTGTATGTTCTGAACTCAAATGCTGAGTGTCTTGCTTTTAAATACAGGCAGTGAAGTTTTAGCACCTTTAGCCCTTTTAACCTTCACCATCATCACCATTGCAAACCTAAACAATGTATTGTTTAACGCTATAGTTAAGGTGGCTGATGTTTTTAATCTGTTTTCCCTCTCATTGTCTTTTAATCAGGTAACAGATATTAAAGAAAAGCTAAAGCTCTCTAAAAAGTTCTGGTCAACGTTACCCTACACAATCTGCAAGGATGAGCGAGTGACAGCCGGTCCGTCAGTCGAGGAAGACTGCTGGAATGGCCACACCAAGGCAAGGTGAGGTGGACCCCTCTCCACCACACTTGGTCCAAATCCCCACCTGGCCTGAAGCAATCATGAAGCTGGGGGTATTTCAGAAAACTGTTTATGAGAGTGAAACAGAAATTGGGAGAACAAGTAATTGTCCACACACAGCTTGTAGCCAAGATTGTCAAAGTGACATTAAAGCCCGAGTGTGAGTCAGGGTAAATGTGCACAATTTGTCAGCATGTGAACACAGAAAATGTGCATTGGTTCAGCTCCAGAAGGATAATTTATACTGAGATTTCAGAGAGCTCTTTAGGTCCATTTAGCATCCCTGTGTTGGGACTGACAGCTTGTGAAGCAATTGCACTCTGGGGATATCATACTGGGATGAAACAGAAATTGGAATTTCGACTCCATTTTCTATTGGCTGGCAAAGCTTAGGGATACTTACTGGAGGAAAAAAAGCCTGAAAAACAATAACTAGAGAATAAATGTAGCATTCCTACTTATCTTGTGTTGAAGATTTGACCTTATGTTACTTCATCAGAGATAACTATGGTCATCTGCCCTTGTTTGTGATGAGTTTTCTGTGAGTTATAATTTTGAAGTTTGCTTGGCCCTGGCCGTGGCAGAGCTGGAGCCAGCATATGAGCAGGTGTCTCCAAAGGTCCCAGTGTGGATTCATCACCTAATAGGGGAGAAGATCTGATAAGAGAGGGAGGAATTGGCTCAGGGACCACCCTGGGGACAGTCTGCTTTCAGGTCTGCAGCAGTAGCCTGTGCTTTTGGGTAGACACAAGGAGTGGAAAGGTTTGAATGTCTGGTGACAGCTGAATCTGGAGAGCAGTGATACTTTTTGGCACTCAGGGACTGGAATCTTATTTTCATTTTTAGTGACAATACATGTGAAGAAAGAGTATAAAAAGGAGATAATAAGAAAAAACAACCAAACCAAAAAGAAAAAAAAACAGGAAAAAATGAGACAAACATATAAAATATAAAAACTCAGTGAAAATAAGACAACATAGGAAAAAAACTTACAAACCTGTTCAGTGTCATTTTACATGGATGTATGGCTGGGTGGATGGACAGATACTTTGATTGATTGCACCCACCCCATCATCTCACCATATAATCATTTTGACAAGGTCCACAGTTTACAGGGGGATGTTTCACATTGAATGCATACCATTTTTCCCTAGTCTTACTACATAACCTTTAAAGAAATTCATTTTACAGACAAGAGAAGAGGGATGTTTGGGATGCTGCTAGCCCCTTGAATCCACCTTGGGATGCATGTGAACAAATCTGTCCAAAAGCACGAGTCACTGCTTAGTTCCTAAGTCCCAGATCTAGGGAAAGCCCCTGGGGATTTGGAGAAAGACAACTAGGAGGAGCATGCGGCTATTACAGGACTCATCACAAAGGAACAGTGTGAAGAGAGAAATAAAAATGGGGATTTTATCTTTCTTTATGTTATCTCTTCTTGTTAGTGAGCTTTGAAAGACATGAGCCCAGGCTGGTGCACTGCAGTAGCTAAGCAGAGTTTCCAGGCATCCCAGCTGGATGCCGTGAGTCACATCAGGATGCATTATCAATAAGAGATATACGCCACTCTTTCTACAAAAGAGCAGTCAAACCTGCTAATATCTCTCTACCCCTCCTGGTTTCCATGACTGGCACTAGTGTTTGTACCACATCTGGCCAATACTTTTCAGCTCTCTTCTGCTTCTGCACTGAAGTCTCTGGAACAGCTTCCACGTTTGTTGGGAGTTACAGAGGTACATTTTATGCATGCAGGTTTTCACCCTTCTTTTGCAGTATTTATCTTATGAGAAGCCTGGTTATTTTCATGATTCCTGCTGAGATTAATGTTCTGGAGCCATTGAGAACGGCTCTCCTTTGTTAATAATGTGCCTTGATAACTGAACTCAGATATTTCATTGGATGTAGAATCACAGCTTCAAAACATCACTTGAAAATATGACTTCAGCATGCCTAGCCACTGCTCCTCTGCCCAGTTTCTGTTTAAGGTCCATTCACAAAGGGAATGTATAGTCACAGGCTTAATAACAGAATTCAATAAATGCTTCAGGTGAAGGCAATAGTAATGAATCAGAGAAATGCCACAGAATGCCATGGCCTGTATATGAAATAATATTGAAAGCAATATTGAAAATAGTATTGAAAATAACTAGCTTTAGGTGCAAAATCACATCTTGGGTGGTTAGCAAGGATATTTACTGCAGCATTAAAAAAAACCTAAAACATAAATGTTTTCTTGTTCAGACTGATATCTGATATCAAATATTATTTCACAAGAGCATGGCAAAATCTGGCCAATATTCAGATATATATATAACTTTGTTCACTGTGTCAGTTGTCATAAGCATCTCTGTGCTATCTGAAGAGCTGCATGTTGAATTCCTGAGAATATGACAACAACCTATGATAGAAAAAAAGGAAATTTAGCCACCTCCTGTTTTTCTAGGCATTAATACTGTAAGTAAGTAGAAAACATGGTGTTGGCTACTGTTTCTAAGGAAATTATTGCTGGGTTTTTATCAGATTCTGTTATGGAATAAAGAATTAGAAACTTTGAATTGCCAGATAGACAATATGCCTTATGTTTCATTTTGCATATCACTTTTTAATGTTGCTTTTACAGGGGAAAAGAGTTACAAATCTGAGATCACAACAAATGAAAGCTTGGCTTTCTCCTGAGAGAGGCACTACACCAAGGTCATTTGTGGTTATTACACTCCATGGCAGCACTTTGCTGCCATGATTAATTTACAGTGACACCAGGTCGCCAAATTGAGGTTGCCAATTTGTGAGTAACCATGTAGTAACAGAGTCATCCATTTGGCGTTCTGGAAGGGTGCACTTGACTCATTGCTGATCCTGTACAAAGAACATTTTTAATCAGGTCACATCAGGTAGAAATGAAGTGCTGTGGAAATGGGAAAATATTTATTAGATGGATGAATCTCTTTTTTTGAAAAATCCATATTAAAAATAGTAATAGCTACTTCAGACAAATTGCTGCTTAGAGAGATGTCCAGCAGGATTTCTCCATCATACTGGTATCACAAAAGAACTCTAACATAATTTTATGTTCGAAGAATTAATGTATTCTGCCAGATGTACAGAGACAGATCTTTGAAAGCTATATAGGATCTAAAAAGCAACATTAAGATCAAATTTCAAAAATTTACCTCCCTCCCTACATACAATTAAATTCTCAACAACCTCTGTTAACCTCTTCACTAATAAATGTTCTCCAGAAATTAGGAATTTTTTCCAAGAGTTAAGGAAGTCAGGCTTTGAGACTTAAACCAACTCCAAGGTATTAGCGCTTGAACAGGTGACTTTTACTGAAGTCAGAACAGTAATCAAATCTGAAGCCACTCTGGTGTTCAGAAGAAGAACTTTGAATTACTCCAACCAACTCAGCCAGGTCGTTTCAACCAAAACATCCAAGAGATTGTGCTCATGCACTGTCATCCTGGTGCTCATGCTCATCAGGACTATAATTAATATGTCTTACCTCTGAGAGGCTGTAATCCATGGAAGAGATGAGACCTGCATTCCTTTCCACAAGGAACCTTTCACTCCTCCAAGTACAATAAAGAATAGAATTATATGGAGAAAAAAAATGAACAGGAAAAAAATAGAGAATGGTAAGGAATAAAAGGAAAAGTGAACATTATAATTTTCAACATCTAGCTCAAAACTACAAGATATGTCACAAAAATGAACACAGGACAGATTCTTAACTGTCCTGAAATTCTCTTCTTCTGCTACCACACATATGAGAATGTCTACTGCCCTGGCAGAGACCCTTTAATTCCTGGTGAAATTCAGGTGGGAAGAAAGACTCTCCAGATCAGTGCTTTCCCTCCAAAAGTTGCCCACTGCTTACCAGCAAGACTTGCAGTGAGAATGAGTTGAATGTCCTTTACTTGGAGGTAGGCACAGATAATTGTTTAGCACCACTAGTGAAAGCGTGAATAAACCACTTCTCAGTAAGTGTGAAAACTGCCTATTCTTAATTGATGGCTCCAGTTTATTTTTGTATCTTCCTTTCAGCAAACTGGCAGATGAGCTATTTTCTCCCTCTCCTTATGTCTCCTCAAGCTTTTCTCCAAGATGGACCAAAAAAAAAACCAAAAAAAACCCCAAACTGAAAATATCTTGTGGGGATTACCTCCTGAGCAAACAGAATCAGATGAGGTGATCTAGTTAGCCAAACAAGCTGATTTTCCACTACACTTATCTTTCTGGACCAGATGTGAGTGTGTAGCCCCAGCCCAGCCTGAGTAAGCCTGTGCTGTATTTTGTACTCTATTGCCTACAATTCTGTGTACCTGGAAAATTTCCAGTACTGCCTAGGTGACATGCTCCAGTTGTACTGTAAGCAGCTGCTGTGGCAGCAAAATATGGAGAATGTTGCACTTTAAGCCATATATGTTTTAAAAATAAGAAGATTCCTCTTTTTTTTTTTTTTTTTTTTTTTTTGCAGGAGCAAGACAGTGAAGGGGGAAGGGCTAGTGTCATCATATCTACAGCCTTTCTATAAACAACCTAAAGATTTATCAGTCATTTCTAGACTTGAAAAGGAAGTAGAAACCCTAAAGTATTAACTGGCTATTAGAGGGGGAAAAAAAAAGTGGTTTTAAATAGACTTAGTGGTTCTTGGTTATGATGCGCCAAAAGACATCTTTACTCTCTCTGCTGAGACAAGTGAGAACTCAAGAACTGTGGAAAAGTTAAGAGGAACAGCAAGCATTAATATTTTAGAAAACAATGTAAATTACACTAAAATCCTGACATAGCTGAGGAAGGAGCAAACAGCAGAAAACAAACAGTATTGTTCAGCTTCTCTATACTCACAGGGCTAAGAAAGCTTGATTTTTTATTTTTTTTTTTTTGCTTAGAGGATGCAAAGAACAGACACTGATTCAGGTTGGCACTTCTTTTCATTTATAATGGGCATACAGTTCTTGTAATGGCCAAGCCTACAAAGAGATCATTAACTAGAGCAGAAGCAGCAGTAAAGCTCAAAATTCACAAGGGTGTCTCCACTTACAGAACTGCAGCAAAAGCAGCTGTGTTCAACAACTTTGCCCAGCCAGCAACAAATCTTCTGTCAAAAAGTGGTCCCAAGACATGGCTTCCTATTCGGTGTGACTTAACCCTACCCCACACACATCAAAATGCTTTTGTCAGAACATGTGCTGGGCTGCCTCTCTGAGGCTGTCACTCAGGAAACACCTTGGGCTGCATGTTCGCATGTCTGCATCTGTCCTTTAAAGAAAGGAAAACAATTCAAAGATATTTACATTCAGTATAGGCTTTTCTGACTGTTTTTTCCACCCCTGAGGAAGCAGGTGGACTTGTTCAGTAATGAGGCCAGAGTCCAGCTACACATTCAGACATGTGAATTCATGTTCTTAAATGAAGGTGAGACAATAAGGCGTGTGTTGCCCACGTGATAGTGGTATCATTGGAGACTCTCTAGCATATCTGAGATGAGTATGATACAGGACACTACCTCCCATCTGGACCACAGGCTAGGTTAAAACTGCTTGAGCATTTTTAAAACCACCCATGTTAAGGTGCCTGAAGAGAGCCCCAATATCCTGTCCGTGTACTCAAAGAGGCAGTTTTCCACTGCCTGAACACACTTACCTACTGCTATGTTAGATGGTCCAAATAGTCAAGACACCTGCATGAAACTGGCAAATTAGACCCTGGACCTATGGGATATTCAAACCCTACTGGAGTGGCAACACAACACCAAGCCTAAGTCCTGGTGGCTAAAGTGGCATTCAAGACTCAATGCAGCTGCCCTAAAGCCAGTTGCACACTATAATTTTAGATGCCCCAAATGTCCAAGACCTCCCCCTCAAGCCTGCAGATATGATCTAGAAAGCCTCATCTTTCAGGGCTAGTGACGAGAAGAGGAAAAATGACCAAGAGTATTCAAATGGCACCAGATGTCTATGTTTATTCAAGTAAATCCCAGCAGATGAAATATAATGAACTAGTCATTTGGCCAAAGGCACATGGGACTCTAACAGCTGTCCCCGCTCCACTGATGAATAAACTCCTGACTAGCTGTGACTAGATCTTGTGTTGACTAGATCTGGCAAGAGTGAAACTCTGCTGATATGCAGACACGTTCATTTGAATATACAGGTTTTATTATCTGTGTAAACCTAAAGATAAGTTTCAAGCCTCTTTAATTATTTTGCTCCTATGCCCTAAATGCCAAGGGAATTTAGGTATCCTCCTAACCATTAGGCAATCATAAGAACATGGATTTCTTGTGACCTACAGCCAGTATGACTCCCTTACACGCCTAGGTGAAGTACTCTGGACTGTTCTTCTGAGAGGTTAAACCCTTCCATGCCAGCAATGCTTTGGAGATCACCACATCCTGGGCAGATATAGCAGGATATGTGACAATTTGACAAAATCACTGCCTACAGCTGAACAGGCTGGCCCATTTAAAGTTAAATGGTCTTCAGAAGGACATCAGATCCACACTAGACACAGTGCAGAATATGAACCTGAATGAAATGCACACATCAGAGCACTCTCTAATTGCTCTCAGAAGCAATTAGAATCTTCTTCTATTATTGATGATAAGACAAGTTGAAATCAAACAGAAATCAGTCAGAGAAAGCCTGGGAGCTGCCATGGAAAGCTAGCCACAGCTTCTCATGGATGGAGTGCAATAAAGAGCAGCTAACCTTTCATAAACAAGGAGACCAATCCACATGAATATTCGGCAGTGTCAGATCACTTCTAGTTGCTAACAGCTGTAGCCGTTTTCATGGACAGGATACTGGGCAAGACAGAAATCCTCTCTAAGCCAGAAGGTCAATTCTTGCATCCTTACTTTTTTCAATCAACTTTCACCTTGAAATCGCTGATTTAATTCTAGAATGAGTAATTTATCTACAGCAGCCATTTCATCTGTAGAGACATGTGACAGATGGAGATCTGTTCCTTTGCAGCCCAGGGCAGCCTTGCCTGCCAAGGTCTCCATCCTGCTGCTTCCAGGCATCTCTGAAGAATTATTTCCTATTCTATCTTTAGTGATTGATAACATCGTGGTCTGCAGTCCTCTGTGATAGGGGTGGTGGCTCTGTATTCTCACTGTAATAAGCCTTACCACAGGAGTCTGGATGGGATCCCACAGCATTATTATTTCACATCATGGTACTAGTGAAACAACAGGACATGCAGTTTGAGGCTGGATATTTTTGGCAATCCGGTTTTGTTCTGATATGTTCACGGTCCCCTGGGATTATTCTCATGTAAGCTTTCAAAGGCCACTGGCAACAAATAAGTCTCTTCTTGCAAAGCTAGAACTTGTTACGATGAGACTAAACCCTTCCTTGGTGCAGCAAAGCAGCTGCCATTTTGCGAACCTCCAGAAGCAACACAAAACTTATTTTCCCTTAACCATGACTTCAGCAGAGAAAGTCCTTTCTTCTCCATTACTTTCACATTTATTTTTAAGATATATTTATTTTTACAGACCAACATGAACAATGCTGTCAGCAATGCCAGATTTGAATAGTGATACGGAATTGTGTGTGTTCAAGTGAGAGTAATTTGAAATATTCTTGAACTACATTTGGTACCAGGCATGGTGAAGGTTTGTCATTAGTAGGCTAGACTGTGCTATCATTATTTACTGTCTGAGCACATACCCACATGAGGAGTCCAACAAACATCAGCAGCATAGCCTGATATGCACACTAATTACAAAATAGATCATATCCTTATAAAAAACATATACAAAAGGTTGAACTGCCCCAGATCCCTCATAGTCTAAGTATGAGACTAAGATAGGAGGTAAAGACAGGCAACAAAGAACAGAGAAGCAGTGGTACACTGTTTTCTCAGGGTACAATACCAGCACAGAGAAATAATGTCAACCTTTTATCAGCCTGGCAAACTGTAAAATGCACAGATAATTTTTAACAGAGATTCAAAGCAGAAAAAAGGTAGCTTTACTGATGCCTATAAGAAGAGCTTCCTGAGGACAAAGAGCAGCAGGGAATAAAATGTGCGTCTTTGTAACAAAGGGTGATGGAAATTTTTGCACTAGGATGATTGGAGACTGCTTATTTTTAGGGGAGAGTTACCTGCAAAAGCACACTTGCTGACTGTGAGCAGCCTAAGACTGCCTTTGTCAAGGTCAGAGAAAGGAATACTGCAGTAATCAAGAAATTATAACATAAGAGCTCGAATAAAAGATTCAGTTGGATGGATGGATGGATGGATAGGAAATGCCATACCTTAAACATTATGCACAAAGTACACGACAGATCCAAGCGTAGCCTGGTTTTAAGGAATAAGGACCAAATCAAAGAAAACACTGGAGTTTGGTAAAATAAAAACCCCTTTTATGGGCCTGGATGTCATATAGGCTGGAGATGCTGTTAAGGGTGGCCTAAAAAAGGGATGCAAGAAAGAATTGAAGAAGGAAATTTATTAAGTGTTTTTTTAAACAAAGCCATAATGCCTCAAGATAGGCTTCTAAACTGCCTCAGAGCAACAAATACACTCTATAAAGCAAAGGACTTCATATTTTTTAAGCAGAAAGAAGTAAAAACAGAAGAATGCGCTGTTAGATGTTTAATTTAGTGTATAACCACTCACGTCGGTAGAGGATATGAACATGCAGTGACTTACTGCTGGCTTCTGAACCTTTTCCATAGCTCACACAGTCAGTGCACTTGCTGGAGAGTATATGTAAAGTTAAGGGTTGAAAAACCTAAATCTATTCTGCTCCCTGTGCAGCCGAGCTACTAAAAAGACCCTTCAAAGTCACTAAAATTAAAAACTATATTTTTAAAATAGTTCTACTGGATCTGTTCAAGAATTGCATATTGAATTGCTTAGCACATCGTTTACTGTACAGTGTTTTATTTCTGAAATTACTGCCTCTCAAACTAATGATTCATCCTGCTATGTAGATACTTGCCTGAGATTATGAACGATGGCTTGACCAACCAAATCAACAATCCAGAAGTAGATGTGGACATCACAAGGCCAGACACCTTCATTCGACAACAAATCATGGCCTTACGTGTCATGACTAACAAACTGAAGAATGCGTATAATGGGAATGATGTCAACTTCCAGGATACAAGTAAGAAACCATTAACTGTCATTACATAAATGTCCTTTTGGAACACATTTATTAAAAAACTGGTCTCGTTGCAATGACTTTCTTTAGTCTTTGTGCTCTGCGCTGCTGACAACATAAGAATTCTTTTTCTGCCACATGAAACTCCAGTTATATAGTTCTTTCTTTTGCTTCTTTTATTAATCTTCATGTCTAGCGTATCAAGACACTGAGAGTTTTCCATAATGCCAACAGTCCAGTTCTTTTTCAGAAGAGCACTTAATTATCTAATTAAGTAACAGTGGCTTTCATTTGGATGCTTTGCTGAGTGAAATCTAGCATCACCACCACTTTCCCATTCCCGATGTGTTCATTCCACTGGGGTGCCAGGTGGAAGGGGAATGGAGAAAAGGGATGAAAGCTATAACCAACCACACTCATGCTGTTTCCCTCACTCCTTTGTGCCAGGTGATGAAACCAGCGGCTCAGGCAGTGGAAGCGGCTGTACAGATGACATCTGCCCCACCGAGTTTGATTTCATCACCACTGAAGCACCACCTGTCGACTCAGACAGGAGAGAGGTGGAGGCTTCAGCCATACAGCCTGGCTGGTCACTGCAGACGTTGCTTGTCATCTTCATCAGCCTGGTACTGCAGAGACAGTGGAGATAATCCTGGATCTTGTGGGAGAAACTGTGTTTTAGCTACAGAAACAGCCAACTTTCTTCTTTTCTTATACTCTAGGACAATGGACCATGCCACAAACACTTGCAGTTTTCTACAAGAGAGCAGTACTGCGACCTGCTTCCCATTTTAGTTTTCCCAAAGAGTACCAGGTGCCAGACTGAACTGCTTCCTGCTTTTTTCAGATAACTCTGAAGATGATATCAACTCTTGAGAGAATTCTTTCTCAAACCTTTATTACAGGAGACTTTCTGAGCTTCATTTCCTTTTATGCTGCAAAAGGGAAAAAGGATCTTACAGTGTTTTTTCCCCAATCAGAGAGAAAAGAAGGGGGAAGAAACCAAGAAAACAATTTTCTTTCTGAATCAGGCCTGATTCAAGGCTGCTGCATTTCAACAGAATATCAATCTATCAATCAAACAAACAAACAAAAAACCCACAAAAACATAAGAAAGTCAAAAATGCAACCGTTCTTCACTGACAGCCAGGTTTCCTTAGGAACTTCTGTAGGATGATTCAGGTCATCATAATGATCATTGTTATAGGGAGGAAGGCTGGATTTTTTTTTTTCCAACACAAAAATATGTCTCAACAGTGAATGTCTTGCACTCCATCTACCAACCACATCAGATTGGTATGAAGGTAGAGAAGCTGAAAAATAAGTTTACCTTTTAGTATGATAGTAGCTCCACTAGCTTCAGAATATCATGTTATAGTTGTTTAGGATTTAAATCTTAATGCCCAGTAAAAATAGGAGTAGTAGCACAGTTTCTTTTGGGATTTATCCATGTTATGCAATTGGCACAGTTTTCCACTTAGCTCACCACTGTGAGCTCATCAGCCATGATGGTAATGTTAAACAACACTACTGACCCCTAAAGGGTTCAGACAGAAAATAATCTCTTGTGATAGAATATTTTTCCTTTTGTTACTGTTCTGACATCGATTAGGACTTTTTGCTACTATGTTCATTATCCTACCAAGATGGCAATTCTCTAATGGACTAACAGCAACTGGATCAATAGCGTGTTTCGCACCTAACTACATCTTTCATATCAGTTAATTTCAGTGTCACAAGGATTTCATCTACAAAATCTCAGAACAAACAAATATATAGTACTGACATGGAGATTTCTTTCACTTTTTTAGTCTTAGTACGATCATCTATTTTTATATATATAAATATATATAAATCACAGATTTTAACTTCTTAATTACAAGCTCAGGGTTGACACTTCTTTGTAAGGAAAAAAAACTTTTGGTCAACCAGCTCTTCTTTTTTTTGTGCTGTTTTGGAAAGTAACCCTTTAATGAATGGTAAGCATGAAAATCAAAGAAGACAATTTTTTACATATCCAGTTGTCCATTTCTTAACAAGTTTGCAGGATGAGGGAGAAAACCTCTCTCATATGTATGTATATGTGGGGGGCATGTGCGTTTGTATGATAGGCCTAGAGAAGGACTTGGATGTTAATTGTGATGACAGTTGTACTATCAGATTCTTCAAGGATACATTGCTTTAATAATCATTGCCTAAATGACCATGGTCCTGGATAGAGTTTTTTGCATCTGTTCATAAGACCCAAGATGGAAACTGTTTCAATCCTGGACAAATGAGTGTCAACAATTAGACATCAAAATCTTCCTTCTTCTATCAACCACAGACGAAGGACTTCTGTGGCAATTCTGTGTGGTGTTGAAATGATTTGACAGAAATTTATTTCCTGATTCTTACATTGGCTCTGGAAATGGTATAGACAAATTGTGGTAACACTGTAAATCCAGCCAACCACACTACAATTTAACAGCCGAGCAGGTAGATCGTATCCATTGCAATCACTTTTTCTTGTCAAATTATAATTAGCTATCGATTTAGGCATGAAATTAAAATAGAAAACACACAGCACGTTAGGATAAAGGTATACTTAAGCACTTTTACCAGAAATTATTTACAAACTATTTATATAGTATGTCTAATAACAAAAAGCGTAGGTTTTGAGCCACTTGTATTCCATGATTTTTCTTTTCTCCACTTGTTTTTTGCTTCAGAGTATAATTGATAGCATCATAGAATCATAGAACCATCAAATCATTTGGGTTGGAAGGGACTTTAAAGATCATCTAGTTCCAATCCCCCTGCCATGGGAGCCATTCACTAGATAAGGTTGTTTAGGGTCCCATCCAACCTGGCCCTGACTACTGGTCTGTTCCTCTGGGCCCAGACTGGTATGCATGAGTCACTGCCTAAGTGCTCAGATCACACGAGTCTTACACCAACCATAGCAATGCATCCCACTTCTCCAAGGGTTCCCCCTGGAGCGGGTATTGTGTTTCAGCATTTACTGTCTCCAGGAAGTTTAAGCCAATTGTTACCGGCTTTTCCTTTTGCCCTGGTAGAGCAGGTAACCAAGCACAGGGTCTTTGTTTTTAATTTTTTTCCTGAGCTTGCACGTGCATCATTCTACAGAGAGAACTCTTTAAAAATCTCCCCTGATACATCTCTTTTTACCCATCTCCGCATCTTTTCTACTCTTCTTGTCTTCAGCAACTTTGTTTCAGGAGAAGTTGAGTGCGATTTTGATTTCTCCCACTCGTGTGTTTATTCAGTGGTAACTGATACTATTATTCTGGGTCTGGAAGCTTATCAACAGGCAACAAAGTCCAAGCCCTCTAAGGCAAGTCTTCTGTTGTACCTGCTCCACGCTGCTGGTGAAGGAGCTGATGGACTCATCACGTCTTTGTGTTAGCCTCAGCCCACATGTAGGTGATCTGCTGACTATTTTCAGCTGGTGCAACCAAGATGTGTGTCCAGGGTGCTCTCAGCTGTTGGTAGACCTCCATGGACTTTTGGACAAGGAGTAAGAGGGATCCCTAAGAACTAGGGTGTGTGCTGAAGGCTGTTCTCACTTGGGGAGCTTACAGGAGGGACCCTCCTCTTCTTGGACAGGATCTTACAAACTGCTGCTCAAAAAACAAACCAGCCTAATCTTTTTCAAAATGTGATTGTATTGAGGGAGTTCTGCCAGAAATTTATGTCTTCCATATTATTATTTCTCCTCTTATTTTCCTACTATGCATGGTGATACCTTGTCAGAAGATGGAGATGCCTTTTCCTGAGGTATTGTGCATACATTTCTTTAATAGTCCCTAAAGGTTGAATATTCTCTTCATACATTGCATTTTTCTGAGATTAAGAGAGCTATTACATCTACAGAGGAAATTAATTTGGGAATGAAAGAAAGAAAAGAAAGAGCATTCCTGGTCATAAATATGAAACTCTGCATAATTTCCAATGTTTCTGTTTGCACATCCTTTGCATCCAATAACTCCTTTTCTAAGGTAATTTTTTAGTGTGCCACAATTTAAATTTCTCTTCTGCTAGCAGCAGATAAAGTAAGAAATTATAAAGAAGACAATTACCTGTTCAAGAAAGAGGAGCTAAGTCCTAAGGAAAAGTCCTTTGATTGTGTAAACCCTCTATGCTGCACAATCCAGAAGTTCTTGACATTTCATGTTCTTTTAAAGTGGAAACTAATACAAAATTAGATGCAATTAATTACACAACCAGTGCTGCAGAGCCCTGTGAGGTTTTTCTTTTCAGTATTAACTGAATTGCTTTTGCACAATCCCCAGATTTTTGATGTTTATTGTATTGCAGATTTTTCTACTGATGACTCAGTACATAGTATTATAACTGCAATGCAGACTTCCTGAACTCTGGCCAAACTTAGGCATTCCAAAATAGACAATCAGAAAAAAAAAAAATTTTTTGAAAAAATTGAAAAGATTTCCTGCAAAAGAGCAAAAGGGGAGGAACCTGTGCCTCGGTGTTGTAGTATTGGTTGATCTATCCCAATACTCTAAGAGGCATCACAGAACTCTGTCCATGGAAAGGTCCCAAAATCTCTCAGACACAAAAATCATCCCAGTTCTGTGGGATTTTTATGAAGGATGATTCCCACAGATGTGTGAACCAGTTTGAGCTGCTTCCATGCAAAATGTCTTTACTGTGCAAGTAGCAGCACACTGGAACAGATTGCCCAGAGAGGTTGTGGAGTCCCCCTCACTGGAAATATTCAAGAACCATCTGGACGCAATCCTGTGCAATGTGCTCTGGGATGACCTTGCTTGAGGAGGGAGGTTGGACGGGGTGATCCACTGTGGTCACTTCCAACCTCACCCATTCTGTGATTATGTGATTCTGTGATTCTGTGAGCTGGAGCTGTTCTTGGGAGCTGGACTGCACGTGCAGTGTCTCAGTAGGCAGCAGTTGCCTTCAATTTATTTACTCTGAATCATTATCAAATGTAACTATACTTATTCACTGAGACTTTTATTACTTCAATGTGAAAAATAAATTACAGCACTGTTGCAAGTTGTGTTTTTTGTTTTTAATTTGCTTTCAAAAATAACCCATTAAAGCTGAATACAGAAAATTTTAGAAGGATTATGCATGTTTCAACAGATTTCTTTATGGATGTTAAGAAGAAATCCTCATTTCAAAGACCACAAAACGATATTTACTGTATTAACCCACAAATGCTCAAACCTACTAAAGGAGAATGAATAGAGTTAACAACAGTGGAATATTACATAAAATTGTAAAAGCCATAATTTTAATGGGAAATTCAGCAGTCAAAGGCTAAATTTTAGCATCAGAACTAAGATTATGTTGTCAGAACACAATAGACTCAGCAATGCCTACTTTCAAGAAAGTTAGAACAGATGATGTACTGAATATGGCAATGTTTTCATTACAGCTACTCGGACTGAGAGGATCATATTGACATGTGTAATTATGATCATTTTTTTGATGAAATAATGGTAAAGACCAGAGTACCTTGGTAACAGGGTACATGAAAGATAAATGTTATGATAGTAACCATTATCTCATCTGTTAAACAGTATAGGAGATGTAATGGAGAATAAAGAACTTTGAAACTGATTTTTAAAATAAAATTGTAGCATCTGACAGGAGTGTATGGTCTCAGATTAGTTTAGTCAGAACATTTTCCAACAGTCTGTCGTGTTCAAATCTGCTGAACAATATAAGCAATCAATCACTTGAGGTAATTTGTCAATATAATAGGAAATGTTTGCTTACAATACTTACTTATGTTTTCTACTAAACTGATTGTGCATCATATGTGATCATATAACAAAAGAGTGCATTTTACGTGTGTGAAATCCTGTCACCATCACAACACAAATGAGAGCTTTGTCATTAACAAAGATTTTTACTATAATCAGGGAGAAAAAAGAATGTCTCTTTTTTTCTGGAAGCTGTTTGTATTTGGTTTCTTTCTGACTCTCAATAAAAAACCAACATTTTCCATAAAAAAAGTGACATTAGCATCACCACCTGTAAGTTTCCAAACTTTACTCCAAAACAGTCTCGATCTTTCTGTCTGGCTTCCCCACAGCCAAGGCCTTTGGACTGTCCAGAAGTTGAAGAAAGTCATGTATGTTTGTCTGTAGCTTAAAGTCTACACAGATAAATCAAACCATTTAAAGAAAATGGGTCAGTATTTCAATCATCTCCCATTTCACCTTTATTTCTAATTATGCAGCTTTGATATTTCACAGTGTAACAGACATGAAAGGCTTTTGTAACATGCTGTGCTAAAAAAAAACTTCTTCCTTTTCCTCCTTTATGCTGGCACCAGCAAATCTATGAGGCTTCATACTTATAGCAGTAGGCAGCATCTGGTGTGTAGTTTGTTTATTAAATTCAGAACAGCTGCATTACTAAGAGGAGTTGTCTTTTTCTTGAGGGGGAATAGGGAATGGGAGTGTCCATTTGTCATTAGCAAAAAAGAGGTACAGAATGGCAAATATTTATTTCAGATATAGTAAGGGTCCATCCGTCAGTATTTCTGAAGACATTTTAAAGCCAAATTTCCATGGAAGACAAACCGACTCCCACTACAATATAAATCAATATGATTTTCTTCCCTGAAAAATACTGATTATATGACTTACAGTTCCAAGCATAAGGGAAGTTGGAAAGAAATTTGCATTCTCCATGCAGATCACCTGAAGAAAGGAGCAAGTTGGGTGTGCAAGTTGTCCCTGTGGACGATGGAGTTTGTTTTTCCAAGAGGGTTAGAAAGGCAACTTAGGAGCGAGTCAGGGGAAAAATGATTTCACAGTGAGGCCCAGTAGATATATATGACTGTGGGGAATAAACAGTAAAAGCAAGTGAGGAACAGCTGGTACTCCTCACATGTGTCCTGCTCTTCCTTTCAACCTACTACCTATGAATTTTCAGTGTAATCTAATTATAACCTTCTCCTGATGTACATAGCAAAGGTACAAATATTGCTTCACAAGTCAGTGGTGTTCTGGTAGTCTGCTGCAAAGTTTCTCTCTTCTCAGTTTCCTGGTAGATGTCTCATTCTCTATCTTTTAGAGTGTGAGGAAGAGCTTACTACCTAAGACATATTTTTGTGTGACAATAGTACTTTTTTCCTTTTAAAAAAGTGTTATTTAAGCACAAAAATTGTTCACATCTGTCATAAAAATTTCTCAATTTAACTATGCATCTAGTGAGTTTTCTTCTCAACCCTGAAGATGACACTCTCAGAGGCTTTGGAGAAAGCCCAAACTCCATTAGTCCTCTAAGTTTCTCAGAGGTCTCCATGTTCCGCTAAATACCCCAAACACCAGGTTACAGGTGGACTGTGCTCCTTCTCCTCCCTTCTCCCCTCAATCCTCACCTCAAAGTATCATCCTGGGCTTGCAAAATCTTTCTAAATGAATGTTTCATCCAAGCTATTATCTTAAAAAATAAAGAAATCCTTTTTGTCATATCTGTGTTTCCTGATGTTAAATATTTCTAACTAAAGCTTCCTGTGTGCCACACATCCTATCTGTCTTTGAGTCGCCAGTGTCGCTATGACAATTTTCTACTCCAGGCTGAACTGTCTTTTCAATCATTTTTAGCTCACTGGATTTTCTGTCTCCCTTCACTAGATCTCTGTGCCTTTGCTAGCACTTAAAGCTTTCTATTTTCAGACAGAAGATGTAGCAAAAAAGAGGTTTGGTTCACTTACTTTAGGGGATTTTTTCAGGCTTTATCAGATCGCACCTTTAGCTTTTATTCTCTACTCTAAACATGCTCTGCTGGGTGTACGTTCTTGATTATCTGACTTAAATCCTAATGACTCCTTTTTCAATCTAGTGTATAGTTAGAACTTATGGACTAGGTGTTGGGGTAGTCATTCTGTTGTGGCAAAATACTGTTTCTTCCTCATAACTGTAGCAGACAGTTTCCATTTTGTTGTCTGCCATGCTGATAAGCCAGCAAGGCCAATAGCAAAGAACTTGTGGATTTTCTATAACAAGATTAACTTAATGGGCAACAACTTCAGGAAACAATCCATATCACTTCTGTAATTGATTATTTTGAGGACTGGTGTTGGGTGTTTTTTATTTCCTTTAATTTTATTTTAACATTCTGGGCTTCATTTGATTTACTTTACACATTGGCTATGTGTGTATTATGTTGTAGACATGTAATATAACTACAGATTAACAATTTCAGTCTTTAGATAACACAGAAGAATTTTAAGTAGTTGGTCAATCTTAGGTTGTTTTTAAGAGCTACAGAGTGATGATCAGTCTTAAAAATCTGCCCAAATGGAAGTCTGAGGACTTCAGATTTCAGTTTTGTGCTATTAGTTGAGTTTGAGGCTCCAAGAATATTTTGTAAATAATTTGTGAATATGTGCGTATACTTGAGGGGGGAGAAAGAAGCATTTGCATCTCAGAAATCTTCTGAAACTTCTTTTCAACTTCTACCTAATCTGAATACAAAATTACAAATGAGCAACTTGCATTCAGATGTGCAGGGGTGTCAAACTATATCAATTGATGGACATTTATATACCAGCTCCTCCCAGCTTACTTTGTTTTGCTGAGGAACAATATAATTTAATGTCCTCTAGCAATTTTGTTATATTTATCAAATTCAAAGAAAGGGTGTTGCTTAAGTAGGTCAGATGTCTTAATTTGGGTAGCAATTGACATTTATACTTACTTGTAAAACTTTTATGGCTCCAGACATAGGAACATTGCTTGAAAGCATGCAAATTATTAGCTCCAGTTTTTATACTATATTTCTAGATTAATATTTATCATAGTGAAATGTGAATTTATAGGGATGATATTTGAATGCAAGTTAAGTTTAGAATAATTAGTTTTTGACAGAAATAGGTTTGGGTTGAAAAAATTTCATTAAACATTAAACCTGCTTTTCTACTGATCCAGTTCTAATATTTCAGCCTAATCTGATATGAAAAAGAACTGAAACCTGCAGGTCCTGTTTACAGATCATACCTGGATCTAAAGGGTAGTTTCAATCTTGGAAGCATTCCAATCAAAATGAAAGTTAGTGAAAAATCCAAAGTTATCCCATCTCTAAGTACTACCTACAATGATACAGTATTTAACAACATATGTCAGTGTGTGTATATATATATATATATATATAGCAGTGTAGCAAGGCAGAGTTTGAACTTTTACAGAAAAGAGTCTTTATGACTTTGTAACTTCAGAGAAGTTATATACCATGGACAGAAATAGAAAAATATATACAATCATTTTGATACATTTGTGAAATAGGTTTCAAAGAACCTGATATTTTTTGTGCAAAATGCCTTAAATTACTTTCTGTAGGGCTAATGCAATTGAATTTATTTCTGTATATAGCCTTTTATAGTAATTACTTCGGATGCAACACTAGACTTTTCTTTCCACTGCAATC